GTTGGGAACATTTCTGTGACCAAAAAAAGTCAATGTTTGTGTTTTGTGAAAAAGTCGAAATTTCAGGATAAGCGCCCCCTGCCCCCCATGCATCTCCCAGTCTCCCTCTCCTCTTGCACCGTTTCGGAGGAAGCGTGGCCGAAGAGCAGCGGCATGTGCGAGCCATCGTCGGGCTACATCTCCAACAACCAGGACATCTGGTGGACAGAACACCTCATCCACGAGATCCAAACGGAGCATCCCGGCGAATTGGTCCGCACTGGGAGTCCATATTTCCTCTGTTCGGCCCTCCCGACCCATTGGAGGTCAAACAAAACACTGCCGGTGGCGTTCAAAGTGGTCGCGTTGGGGGACATTGGCGATGGGACTATAGTGACAGTGAGGGCGGGCAATGACGAGAACTGTTGTGCCGAATTGAGGAACTCGACAGCGGTGATGAAGAATCAAGTGGCCAAGTTTAACGATTTGAGGTTCGTCGGGAGGAGTGGACGGGGTGAGTGAATCAACGCCAGCGTGACGGATGGGAGATAATTGGACGGGGCGAAAACCGGAAAATTTATACACTATTTTCCACTATTGACAGATTAAATAAATACATTTGAGTAATTTTAAAAAATATACAGGGTGTTCCGTCTAAATCCCACTTTAGAAGTATTGGGAGTTGCAATAATCGTATTTATTTGAAAATTGGTACATAGCCATAAACAATTAAGTCCTCCTAAATGAAAATATTTTCAAGATGGCGGCACTTCCGGTTATACCGGAAGTCGGTCTCAACTTTCTTATTTTAAATGGAAAGGTATATTTTTTACTGCGTTTTTGGACTAATCGGGTTATTTTAAGAGAGTTTTCATCAGCTTTCCCTATATCTAATTTTAGCCGTTTTTGAAATATTTGGAGTTTTTCAAAAATTTTTGGATTTACACCTTCCACTTAAAAAACCGGTAACTCTGCTATGTTTTAAATTTTGAATTCGTTTTTTTGGCGTTTGAAAGAGAAAGTTCAGTCTTTCTTTCGGTGTTTTCAAATTTTGAAAAAAAAATAACAAACCATAAAATTTTAAGGTTACTTTTGTAATTAAAATACCCTTAACTCAATTTTTTCTAATGAAATACCCCAATTTTTATTTTACTAAATGGAGGAGAATTTAATTCTGCATCGATCTGTATTAACATTCTCTTTACCTAAATTTAATAATTTTTAAGTTATGGTGACTTTTTGTTAAGACTGTCGAAAATCTATTACGTTTTCGTATAGTTTGCTATGGAAATAAAAAATGTCAAAATTGTTTCTCAATAAATGTCGACAGTGACTTATTATTTGACAAATAATGCCAAAATATGGAGAGTCAAAGCTACTCAAACTTAGATTTAATTAATTTATTTTGTATTTATGGAGAGTGTAACAAAATTATGATATCGTTCATTAAACAAAAATAAATTTTTCCCACTTGTTAGCTTTAAATAATGATTGCATGGTAGAACCTATCAATAATAACTACGTTTGCATAACTTTGATTCTCCATATTTTGGCACTATTTGGCAAATAATAAGTCACTGTCGACGTTTACTGAGAAACAATTTTGACATTTTTGATTTCCATAGCAAACTATGTGAAAACGGGTATGGCTAGTAATAAATTTTCTGTAGTATTAAAAAAAAAGTCCATAACTTGAAAATTATTAAATTTAGGTATAGGGAATGTTAATACAGATCAATGCACAATTAAATTCTCTTCTATTTAGTAAAATAAAAATTGGGGTATTTCATTTGAAAAAATTGAGTATTTGAATTATTACAAAAGTAACCTTAAAATTTTGGGATATGTTTTTTTTTCAAAATTCGAAAACACCAGAAAAAGGATCTAAGCTTTCTCTTTCAAACGCCAAAAAAACGAATTTAAAATCTTAAAAAATGGCAGAGTTACCGGTTTTTAAAATGGAAGGTGCAAATCCAAAAATTTTTGAAAAACTCCAAATATTTCAAAAACGGCTAAATTTTGGTATAGGGAAAGCTGATGAAAACTCCCTTAAAATAATCCAAAAACGCAGTAAAAAATATACCTTTCCATTTAAACTAAGAAAGTTTAGACCGACTTCCGGTATAACCGGAAGTGCCGCCATCTTGAAAATATTTTCATTTAGGAGGACTTAATGGTTTATGGCTATGTACCAATTTTCAAATAAATACAATTATTCCAACTCCCAATACTTTTCATGTGGGGTTTAGACCGAACACCCTGTATATTTTGGGGGAGACATGAAGCTATAAAATTAAGTTTTATGCACTTTTTGAGTTCTTGTGATTTTTAGTAGTGTCAAAGACGTCATTTGGTATACTAGGTACTAGTTTTTCATAGGAATCAAAAATTTTTGATTTTTTGGTCAAAATCGGATGCTTCTAGCCTTATTTCTTAATTTTATTACTCAATATCTCAAAAACTCAGGGGCGGATCCAGGAATTAAGTATTAAATTATTATTAAATGATATGAGGGTATACAGTGAGCGGCAAAATTATAGAATAATCTTATTTATAAAACTGAAAATATTTTGTTTTGGAAAAATGCTCGAACAGGTCAATTTTCTTTTTAAAAAATACAAAATTTTTTTATTGATATTATTTCACTTTTTGGATATTTTTTTTTAACTTTATGTAATACATAATATGTTGGTGTTGCCATTTCGACAATTATCTATCGAATTCGCTAAAAAATAGGGGTTTCCATTAAAAAAAAAATGCCGCTGCCGTCATCACCCAAAAACCAAAAAGTGTAGAATTTTAAAACAAATTGAAAATTGTGTATAAGGTGTTCTAGCGAGTTGGTAAAGTTCATTATTCAAAGAGATATAAACTTAATTTAATTTAAAATTACAATTGATGATTTCTTTTTGAATTAGTAAAAACTAAGGAAGTATCGAGAGATCAAGATAATTTGTCCTTGTATCCGAAAACGTATGTCCTGTGCGTATGTCTGCGAAACGTCAAATAAAATGACAAGTGAAAAGGTAAAATCCCATGATCAAAAAGATAACTAAATTTATAATTTACCTTCAAAAAAGAACGGTCTTATTATTATACGTCGGCGACTAATTCCAGCCCATTTTGCCGTTTTCGACTTGTCATTTTATTTGACGTTTCACGTGCAGTTAGTTTAAAAACAGACATACGTACAGTTGCGGAATTAAAAATTCGGGCAGTACCTATTTTTCTGTCACTTTAAAAAGTTCACTGTAAACTACCTTTTACTGTCATCATGACTGACATTTGACAATTAAATAATTTTTTATTTATTGTTAAAATTGTTAATTAAACAATTTGTCTGTCTTATTATTATTTATTAAGATCTGCTGCCTACCCGTTATTACGCCACAAATCACTATTTTTGAAAGTAAATAAGTCAAAATGACATAAATATGACAAGAGTAAAAAATGAAGTTATTAATATAAAGGTTGTTTTAGAGTTTACATTATGAAAATGACAGTACTGCCCGAAATTTTAATTCCGCAACTGTACGTTTTTGGATCCAAAAATGATTACAAATTATTTTAATCTCTCGGTATATGTATGATTTGTATTAATAATGATTTAAAAAGAATTCTAATGTTTTTATTTAAAAAAACTTTCGGTTGTAAGGTTTTTATATTAAAATTTAAATATAAAAAATTGAAGCTTTTGGTGGCAAATTTGGGGGGGGGGCTGGCCCCCTGGGTCCCTCCCCTGGAACCGTCCTTGCAAAAACTATGCGTTGTTGCATTTTGTTCAGCGCGTAATTTTACGTCTAGCAAACGATATTTCAAGCGTTTTTACGACTTAAGGTAAATTTTACTAGCGTTTATCTTCAAAAATTCAAAAAATTCAAATTTTTTTAAACTTGACCCAATAACATTTTATGCACTTTATTGAGTCTATAAGACCTCTAGAAATGTAAAAAACGTAAAATAGATCAATTTTAAAGATAATTTTTTTTTTGTTTATCGTCGAGATTTTGGTCGATTTTTGGCACCCGGAGCGGTCTATTGGCAATAACTCCGGACTTATTGGAGAAAACCTCTTATATTTGATATCGTTGGAAAAAAAAATAATTTTCTATCATATACAAAAAAGATCAGTGCTTTACGATAAATAGTTATCGAGAAAATTTGTGATAATTGCTTTAGAATAATTCTATTATTATTACTCAAAATTAATTGAAGACCAGTGGCGCAGGAAAAGATAGACTTTAGGGGGTGTTTATCTATGTAAAAAAGATGCGCACTTGTTTATAATTGTACAGGGTGTTAAAAAATATTCTATTACTTTGCGGACCTATGTTTATAATAACAATAATAATAAAAAAAATCTTAATTTTTAATTCAAAACTTACCTTTAATTTATATTACTTTTAACTTACCTTTTGTTTACTTATTTATATACTATTAACTTTCCACTTTTGTTTTAAAGTTCGCGCTCTTATACGCCCGCCATCTATTGGTGCTTATTTTAGTTAGTATTGTGCGCTTTCTCTCTTATACTTATTAGAACATGTGCACATGTTTTAAAGATCGCGCTCTTATGCGCCCGCCCTCTTTTGAAATTTATTTGAATTATATTTGAATTTGTGAAAAATTGCCGACTTGACCGGGGCTCGAACTCGGGACCTACCTGCTGGAAAGCGGGACCTTATGCCGCTGAGCCACCACCGCCGCCAACAATTTCAATGTTTTCATTCAATATATTTTACACATAATTTTTCAAAAATTTATTTTTCGCATTTTTACAATGTTTTTGTGCTTTATTTAGTCTTTTGAACCCCCAAGAGTGCAAATGGACAATTTTGAAGTTTTTAATTTTTTCGATTTTTGTCGAAATTTTGGGCGATTTTCGGTACGCGGAGCGGTCTAATGCCAATAACTGCGGACTTATTAAAGATAACTTCTTATATTTGATACCGTTGGAAAGAAAATTTAATTTTCTATCATATACAAAAAGATAAGTGCTCTACGATAAATAGTTATCGAGAAAATTTCTGATAATGTTAAAAATATCAAAAATATTATTTCAAAACTATAAATTTTAAACGATCAAGAATTTTGCACTTATCTTGACGCCAATCGATTCCCCGGAACATTTTACATATATTTAGGTCAAAATGTTGTATCATTGAAATACAGTTTTTTCGCAATTTACAAAATAAAAAAAAAGTAAAAATTTGTAACACCCCCCCCTTAAAAACTAGTGTTTTTGAACATGTCTCAGAATCAATTTGTTTATATAGTGCTTATATTTTTAGCCTTATTCTTAACTTTATTACTCAATATCTCAAAAACTATGCATCGTAAAGTATTTTAACTTTTAACTTGTTGCATCGTGTTCAGCGAGTAATGTTACGTGTAGAAAACCATATTTCAAGCGTCAAAAAATTCAATTTTTTTTTAACTTGACCCAATGGCGTTTTATGCACTTATTTGAGTCGTTAAGACCTCTAGAAATGTAAAAATCGTAAAATAGATCAATTTTAAAATTAATTTTTTTTTTGATTTTTGTCGAGATTTTGGTTCGATTTTCGGCATCCGGAGCGGTCTATTGGCGATAACTCCGGACTTTTTGGTGATAACCCCTTATGTTTGGTACCATTGGAAAGCAAATTTAATTTTCTATCGTATAGAAAAAAGATCACTATCCTACGATAAATACTTATCGAGAAAATTACTAGTAAATTCAAAATCGTCCAACTCGACTATAGTAAGGTTCAATTTTGCCTCAAAAATGACAAAAACCGCTAGTTTGCATCATCCCCGACGTCATCACTGTTTATTTATCCGAAATCTCTTCCGATCTCTCGTCACACTTAACCAAGTCGAACAAAAGTGTCCCCACTTCGTCGTCGAAATCCTACGTTTCTTTTTTATGATTTGTGTCTTTTGTGTCTCGCAGCAGATGGAATCCGGCAAAGTCATTCGAGTCATTGAGACGCCGATCCGTTACATATTGATCACATTGTACGCATCGTAACGAGCCAAAAAAATCATTAAAAACGATACAACACGCATAATTTCAAACTTTTTTTTAAGCCCCCTACTGATTTGGGAACATTTCGGGGAAAAGGGACTTTATTTTGGTACCCCTGTTATCACAAAACAAATTCATTATTTTCCTTGAGATAGCTTGAGAAAAATAAAA